GTTGGAGTGTGTGTGTATGTATTGTATTATGTGCATACTTGCTATAATTTGTGTGTGGAGGTCAGTGGATAACTTTGCGGAGTCATTTCTCTCCTTTCATATCAATGTGGGTTCTGGGGGTTGAACTAAGTAGCCAGGTTTCTGAAGTATGGACCTTAACTCACTGAGCCATCTTAGTGGCCTAATTATTTTTACAGATATTTTTCTGTCATCCTCAACTGCATCATCTCCACCCAGCATATCTATCAGTTCCAGAAAGCTTACCATACACATAACCCTGGGCTAAGCCTTTCATATGGATAATTTCAATCCTCAGAGATCAGATGACATAGGTAATTGTAGGTGGAATTATCACACCAGTTCTACAGACAAGGAAACTGAGGTACAAAGAGATTGAAGACTCTGGCACCCAAGACTAGCAGCCTGAGTGGGGGTGCTAGACTCTAAACCTAGCTCACTCTGACTCCATAGTTCACAATGACAGCAGAAGCTGGAGAATCTCAGCTCACCAGGTTTGTCCCCATTGGCACCCTGGTCCTTATCCAGGCCTTGGCTCTTACTCAGCCAGACTGGCCATTTCAAAAGTATTATAGACACTGGAGGGAGAATCAGAAGTAGAAGCATGTAAAACCCTGACCAATCCCTATGGTGTATATCTTGTAGCATCTCAGAGGCCTAGGGCTGTGGAAATAAGTCTGTGTGGAGCAGAAAGGTATCTGGATCACTGTGTTTAAGTCCCTCTCAATGGAGGTAAAGAAAGAATTATATTGGTTGAAGTGGATCCTGACCTCAGATTGATTCAGAAAAGGGATATATTTGGTTGTGACTAGCTACTGTAGTGATGAATTGATGCAGTAAGTCTAATAATGAGTTTGTTTTGGAAATTTTTGTCTTTATTATCTGACCATCAACCAAAGAACAAAAACTCAGCCAAGGGCACTAAAGTTCCAGTCTAAGTTTTCCTAGGGGATTTACTATCTTTCCTGAATGATTTTTTTTTTTTAAAGAGCAGGAACTAATTTCTTAAGTTGTTTTAAATCTAACATAGAGAGGCAGCTTAGGAATTTGAGGTCATGTATTTCTATGCAGAGATAATACTACTCTCCGCCCCCCACCCCAATTTCCTCAGCCTGAAACTAGTGCCAATGTGGAGTCTAATTCCCACCAAGCGAGGCTGCCTGACTTACGGTGTAAAAATACTTCACAGAAGCAGATGTGGGGCTTTTATAAAGATTTTTCACCCTAAAAGTCAATGGGCCCAAGGACAAAACCCTTTGCAGAAGCTCAGCAATATCACTTTGGAGAGGTTCAGACATTTTCAAAGGATGGACAGGATCCAGTTCTGGAGCTTTGGGCACATTTCCAGAGCTTGGAGCTGCAGAGGGATCAGGGACAAGGGTATTGATTCTTGCCAGGCTCCTGGGCTTCAGTTGAGGATAACTTTGCCTAGGGAGGGTGCACAGGAGGCCAGAGGCTCTGGCAGCAGAAGCATACCCATTGGCACACTCCTCTCCGGTATTCATGCTGCTAACCAGGGGAGACACGCTGAGGGGCTGTGGTAAGCAGCAGGGTTTTGTGATTGACTGGATGGGCTGGGTCAAGCCAGTGACTTTCAACAAAAGAACAGTGCTCTGAGGCCTGGCTGAGAGCTGCCAACCCAGAAATCATCACCCCCTCCTCTTTGGGAAGGAAGCCCTTATGTTCTAAAGGACCACCAGGGAACTGGTTTAATCAAGTGTAGTGGTGCATGGGATGGTAGAGACTAATGCTCTGCATATGAGCATGTGTGTACAGACAGACAGACACACACACACACACTGAGAGAGAGAAGAGAGAGACACAGAGATACAGACAGACACAGAGAGAAACAGAGAGACGAGAAGAGAGACACAGATACAGATACACAGAGAAATACAGAGAGAAACACACATACAGAGAGAGAGAGAGAGAGAGAGAGAGAGAGAGAGACTGGAGTTCATGGAGATAGTAGCTGCCTTTGTTTGGGTATTTTCCTGAGTGACTCACACTTACCTTTTTTGGCCTTCTGGAAACAAAAGGCCAGAAATGGAGTTCAATTCTCTTTAGGGTAAAGAAGCCATCAGATCCATTAAACATTTCTGTCTCACTCTCTTGTACTATGGAAGGCCAACAAGTGGGAACTATCTAAAGCAGAATGGAATAACTGGATTGTAAAGTGGGCAGAAGGACATATTGGCCTTGTGTTGTTTGGGGTCTGGCTTCAACATCTCTATGTTGGAACTGTATTAGTTTCAAATACATTGTGCCAATAACTATGATATTCAAAGCCATAGAAAACCTGTATTCTTGGCAGATATTATGGTCTCTGGTGTCCAAAAGGCGACTCTGGAAAAACAAGAAACCTTCCCAGGAATAGCTCTATCCTCCTCCCATCATGTCCTCCAAAAATTCCCTTCCAGAAGCATCATTTGGACACAAACTTCTTGCTCCCTTGCTGGGTAAGGATGGGGACAACTGAAAAACATTGGGGTTCTTGGGAGCCAGAGATCCTGGAGCCGAGCTCCATAACTACAGTGTACTAGTCATGTGGCCTTGGTGAGCCACATAGTGATTCTCTAACAGCTGCTGCTGGGAGGATGGCTTCTCCTTCATGAGGATGCTTGGAGGGTGAGACCAAAGCAACTTTTCCCTTGTAATGTAGATGAATGCTATTACTTTTTAATCTAAGAACTCCTTGCTGGTGTCCCTTTTCCCTGGCTTCATTAAAATCCCAACCTAATATATATATATATATATATATCTTCTAGGAAGTTCCATGACCTCCTTCTTTTTTTTTT